CTCAACCGGCGGGCTCGCAACACAGCCAATGCTGCTAAACGAATCATATGCAACGGTTTACCACACTGGGGCTGGTGAGTGGCGGGTGGTGACTATGATAAATGGAAGCTATTACGTAACTGAATTAATCAGAACCCTTCAAATTTCGAATCAGTTACGACCTTTGTCCCGACTTTGTTATGATACTTCTCGAGCTGTGAAGGAGTTAAGTTTGAGAATTCACCAGAGAAAGGTCAAGCTTCAAAACCAGCCCGATCCTTCCAACACAATCGACCCACAGCGCCGGAGGAGAGTCAGTTCCAAAATCAATCACAAGTTTCCAACTCCGATCCGCAGTGCTGCCTGAAGCCCTCGGTCGTCGGGAGCAAACCGATTACCAGAGCTGGGACAGCTCAGTCACCAAACCGAGCTCAGTGCGTATCACAACGCACCACACAACCCAGCCGTCCCTACCCGGCAAGCTACCATCTCAACTGCCGTCAAAGCCGCCGGCCCGAGCCGCCAATCCTCTGAGCAGCTTGCTGTGATCCTCTGAGCTACAGAAGCTGCGCGGCACCCAGCGGGGTGCCCGGTGGAGCTGCGGCAGCTCGGCCTACCGACGGTGCGTGTCAGGGGCGCGGCGCGGGCGCGTTCGATCGGTGTCGGCTCGGAGCGAGCCGCGCTGACTCACCGACCGGTCAATAGCTGCTCCGCCGCCGCCGAGTCGTCCGAGCCCAGCCGCGACGGCAACGACGCGACGGCGACGGCGGCGACGACGTGGGGCGTGCCCACTGCCCGCCGATGGTCACCGCCGGCCCGGTGACCTATGACCCGAGGACAGATCGTCCAGCCGGCCGGGCCGATCGTCACTGCCGCCCCGGTGACCTATGCCCTGAGGACAGATCGTCCGGCGGCTGACCGAGCGGCGGCCGTTTGCGCGGCGCCGCCGCTCGCTGCTATTGACACTGATGGACGACGGAGAGTGTTTGCTCTTCCGACGGGAGTCGGTGTTGACGCAGCCGCGCGCCGTCTCGCTTTCATTTCGACCTGCCGAGGGCTCTCATCGCGTGCGTTAGCACCGCCGGCGGAAGGCGAGAGGTAGATTGAGATGCTGGTGTGAGGCGCTGCCGGCTGCAGCGGCGGGTGAGGTGATCAGCCGACAAATGGTACGTCGTTAACCACCCGCCGACCTCACAGCGGGTAGTGGCTCCTGCAGAACGAACGCAGCTGGCCGGCACGTCTGACGCCGAGATTTGTGTCTCATTGGACTATCCTCCCAGCCCAGGTATTTAACTCTAACATTGATGGACTCAGACGGAGGTTTATGCGAAACTATGTGACAAGAATACTTCCCTTCGGTGTTGGGCATGACGTTAATCCTCGGTTCTTTGGAGTCATTAGCCCACTAGCCCTCTCTTCCTCCTGGATCCAATATCCAGGCTCGGCCGCCAGACGACCTTTCCCGTCCCGTCCCGTCCCGCCCCCTAACCTAATCAGCGGCCGCCCACAGCGTCGTGCGTTTAATCCCGGGACGGAGGCCGCGGCGACCAGCGCCGCTGCCGACCCTAACCGCCGGCACATCTTCCTTATCGCCGGCTTCAGAGGGCGGCCATTTCCCTCATCACCACCAGGGGTGGACCATTGTGAGCGGGAGCCGCAGCTCGCAGCTCGAGCTGACGGGGCCCCCGCCCTACCCCTCCTCCTCAGCTGTCCGGGCACGGCCGACCACCGCCGGCCATCGGTCTTCTCCCAGCGCAAAAACGACCGCTCCAAATCTAGCTGCTTTATTGGCGACCGACAGTTGTCTGGCTGCGGCTGGCAGCCGCCGCTGACTAGACCGGGCCTGGCGGAGAACGGCCGTCCGTCCGCCGCCCGCACTGGCCTCACACTCTCCGGGGCGCGCGCCGCCGCCCGCCCGGCGCGCCGCGCCCGATACATCATCACATCACGAGCGCGCGCGAGCACACCACCAACGGGAGATCACAAAGGGATGGGCAAAGACCGAGGAATGTCTGAGAGATAAAGGGAAACTGCAGTGGCCAGTGCGCAAGTGGCAGGGTAACAGGACACGTAACGTTAAAGCTGCGTCGCAGGCACCCGCGCGCGAGTGCCAAGCTAAAGGTGGACAAAGCTGCCGAGAGTCGCCGAAAGTCACACAGAATGAACAGCCGACCGGGAATGTATCTATCGTCGCGCCTGCGCCGGCGCCGGCCGCGTATGGCACATGGTTACAACTGGGATAATCTCGACGGGCTTATACAGAGACGCAGACACCACGTCTACACCGCCCGCCCGCCAACGCCGCTACCAAAAGCGTATACACAAAATACGTTTATACACACGACGCTAGCGCACGAATGAGTCTTGGTTTAATGTACACCTATATGGGATGCGCTCCACCCTCAAAGAACTAAAACCTCCTCTCGTCAAACGCTGAAGAACTTGCGGAGCGCTCCTACTGCGCCGCTCATTTGCTCTCAAAGTATCTGTAGGTGGGGTTCTCGTACCCGTTGACCTGCATCTGGGTGACGTGCGGCTCCTCGGGCGCCGCTGTCTGATCCACCTCTACGAAGCCGAGGCTGCGCGGCGCGCGCTGGCGGCGGCGCAGCGTCAGCGCACCGGCCACCAGCGCCACCGTCAGCGCGATGCTGGCCAGCGCCACCGTGAAGTAGAGGCCGCGCCCGCCGCCCGAGCCGCCGCCGCCGTGCGCCGGCCGCAGCACCTGGTACGTGGCCTCGCCCTGCGTGTGCGCGCTGGCCTGCGCGTGAGAGATGACCGGCTCGACGTTCTGACCGGGCAGCGTCTCGTCCTCCATCGTCTCCGGATCGAAGTCGTCGACGCGGTGACCGGCGGCCGCCTCGACGCGGTGCAGCTCCTCGCGCGCCGCCTCGTGCGCGGCCAGCTTCTCATCACGCGCGCGCTGCTCGGCGGCCAGGATCTTCTCCTGGGCAGCACGGTCGTCGGCAGCCTTCTGGACCATATCCTGCACCTCTCCGGCGGCGTCCAGCACCTGGCCGCCCATCAGCTCTGCCGGCGTCGAGTCCTGGCGCCGCAGCTCGGCCACCGTGCGGGACAGTTCCGGCAGGATCTTCTGCTGCACGCTGGGGAAACGCTCCAGCATCTGGAGGCTGTTGTTCACCATGAGGTCGATGTCGTGCAAGTGCTGGGCGGTGGCCGTCTGCTGAGCGCTGGCCGTCTCCGGGTCGGTGGTCAGCAGGTGGCGGAAGTGCGAGATCGTGTGGTGACGGTCCTTGAACAGCGCCCGCGTCAGGCGGCTCAGACACTTGTGCACGACGTTCGTCTGGATGGGTTTCTCGCCGAGTGCGCGCACGTAGCAGGCGCGCGCGTCCTTCTTGCGCTCGTTGATGTGCGCTACGATCCGCTGCTGGTGCAGCGACACCAACTGGTGCTTCTCGGCGGCGCCCTGGTCCTTGAGCTGGTCCATCAGCTTCTGGAAGTGCGCCGTCATCTTAGTCTTGAACTGGTCGGCCTGCGCCGGGCTCTCAGCCTTGATCTTCTGGTAGCGGTCCTCCAGCTCGGTCCAGCGCTGCATGATCCGCTTGATCTTGCGCCGGTGGGCCGACTCCAGACGCCGCTCGGCAGCCTTGAACGCGTCGTGCTCCACCCGCGGGTCGAAACGCGTGAAGTAGGGGTCGCGCGTGGCCGCCTCGGGCTCCAGCTCGAGCTCCGGCTCCAGGGTGATGGCCTCGGCGTCGATGTTGATCTCAGAGGTGAGCTGAGGCGGGAAGTTCTTCTCGAAGGGCTGCTGCGCCGGCGGCTGCGTGGTGGCCTCCCGCAGTGGGCAGCAGACAAACTCCACGCCGGTGAAGATGTCGGTGCCGCACGGCAGCAGCATGGCGAAGCTGCGCAGCGCCATGCCGCGGTCGCGGCACGCCTTGTCGGCCGTCTGGTTCCAGCGGTCAAAGTCCCAGCACCAGGAGCTGTTATGGATGTGGTCGAACTGGCACGGCTCGGGCACCAGCAGTGCGTCCGACTGGAACTTGCCCTCCAGGCAGCGGTAGGGCTTCACCAGGTACGACTCCTGACACTTGTCGTGGCCCAGCTTGCACCAGTCGTCCACCATGAACGAGTGCGTCGACTCGACGATGTTGGTGATCTCCAGCTTCGGGTAGACCCGCTTGCAGTACTCGAGAATCTCCTCCTTGTTCTTCAGGCAGCCGTCTTTGTTGTCCAGGTCGGAGACCCAGCGGCCGGCCGAATCCATGTATTGATTATGGTAGTGGTCGGGCTGGTCGCAGACCATCGCTACCTGCGGCTCCGACCTCGGCTGGGGCATGTCAACGCTACTGGCACCCACAGCCTCCACATAGCCGTCTGTGAATTTTGATATCGAAAGCAACGCAACAACGACAAAGAGTTCCTTCCCCGCCATCCTCACCGTGTCCGGGTCCACACGGAGCTCCGCCTCCCCCACCGTCACTGGGCACCTCGGCGGCGAACTGCGGCGGACCCTCCGGGCCCGGCTCGGCGCGGCGTAGGGCCCGCGATCGATACCACACAGCTGGGGATAGTGCTCATGCGCCGGGAGCTTTTCGTCGGCACAAAAGTAGTTTCATGATTATGCTCGGTTTCATTCTAAGTTGATACTTAAATTGATTTTATATGGATGATAATTTTGATTTTATCACATTGAATGATTTATATTTTTATTTTATCGGTTTATTTTTAAAAAGTTAACTTTTTATCTTCGAAGTCCGATTCATGTGGTGAATACCTTGGTGAATACATTGAAGTAATTTCTCTGAGAAAATGACGTCAAATAAATTTTACACATTCAAATTGTTTTATTTTTTGTCAAAAAACAATTTTATGCTTAACATTTAATAATCCAGACATATAAAAAAAAACAAAATTGAATTAATTTTAGCTAAAATTGGAAAAATATTAAATACTGACGTCATTTAATTTGCCGTATGACTGCCAACTGAGCTTCTTTTTCGTGCCATCGACTACCCTACCTTGTAATGTTTACAAGCCTTTTTGCTTACATTTGTTGTGACGAAACTGGCGAGGTACCGCGCCGGACTGCTGTTGTCATTTGACTTCTTGAGGCTGAGGTGGGAGGACCGTCGACTGTTGAGCTTATCTTCTTTGCTTTTCTGTTTTCAGCATATATGGCGGTTGGACATAAGTCTCCTGCTGTTGCGTTTCGTTAAAGTGAGCCACAGTTGACAACTAGCTCAAGTTGTCTTGAAGCATCAGTGACCTGACCTTCCTTTCATGATTCATGCTTCAGCTCATTCTGCTTTCTGTGTAAAGAAAACACAACTTTCAGTTTTCCTAACATTGATATCAGGTATTCCTAACATGACATTGCAGGTAGAGATGGTTATACCTACATTCCTGGCATGGGTGATACCCCTTGGCTCTGCCAGTACATGTATTTTTATTTTCCAGGCTGCTGTCAACAAGGTGTTACGATGGCTCTGTCTCGTCCACTGGCCAAGGGCCTGCCTCTGAAGCATTGCTGTGAAGCTGTTTCATCAGGTGTAGGCATTACACCAGACAAGGGTCAGGAGGTGCACCAGGGTAAGAGCATACCATAGCTACACGAAACCTTTGGTTCTGTTTCACTGCCAGATTTCATTTTAGGATTTCCTGTAAAATCTATGCAATATGATTTTATTTTTATTATATGTGGGTTTGGGAAAGTGAGATTAAAAAAAAAAATGTTGCAATTGAACAAGATATCATACCATTTATTACTACTTCAAATTATTGATATATCACATGTTCTGAATGTACACAGGTGAACATGGCTGAGATCCTGTGGTATGAAAGTGTTTGTGTTTTGTTTTCTGTGTAATATTTCCACAGCAGAAAATGCACAGAATAAGCAAAACAACTTGTACCTAAGTTGAGCAAGAATTTTAGGAGCTGTACACTCTTGAAAAATAAGGTCCACCTATGTTTCAGCTTATTAGCCAACAGATCATTTTCCACTATCGCCCTTCAAGTTGGCCTGTGTCCCTGTTTCCCATCATACAGCTGGCACCAGACGGTGTTTAATGACTCGCCCTGTGTTTCAGTGACCCGCTCCCAGCTCTCTAAGCTGCACCTGAGCCCGTCGTCTGAGCTGCACGTGCACTCGACCAGCCTGCACCCGCCTCTGATGCCGCCCAACCTGGACGAGCTCAACTCGTCGCGGTTCAAGTTCAGCGCGCGCCGCTCGCGGGACATCTCGGGCCGACTGGCGCTGCTGAGCGGCGGCGGGCTGTCGGTGGGCCGCGCTGGCCAGGACGTGCCCCGCACGGCCGGAGGGGCGCCGCCGGCCGCGCCCGACTCGCACGTGCAGTCGTACGACTGCCGCGGCGCCATCAGCCTGCACTCTGTGATGCAGACCAACGTGCCGGAGCCGTTTGACGTGCACCTGACGGGCGGTCACACGGCTGACGAGCTGCACATGCCCGGCGGTCAGCCCACGCACCTCAACATGCCCGGCGGCCAGGCCGCTCAGGAGGAGAAGTTTATCGCGCGCGACCTGCAGGCCGTCCACCCGCGCAAACAGCAGTGAGCCGCAGGTGAGACGGGGCAGAGCAGGGCAGGACGTCAGGGCAGGACGTCAGGGCAGGACAGGACAGGGCAGGACAGGGCGGGTATCAGTGCGATTTAACCGCACTGATAGCAGTCTGCGGCTATTGCAGGTAGGTGGTAGCCACCATGAGATTTTCAATATTCATCCGCCATTTTCATCTAGGTTCGATTGAATTCTTGGGTAACGAAAGCGTTTTTCGTCTTACTGGGAAAGTGTTTTAACGACGGTAGCCAGAACAAGACCTTCGATGAACCATATTTTCTTTTTTTTAAATCGGTTGTGTTCGATCTGTCCGTCTCGACTGAGTCCACGCTAAGCCGTCTGTTTTCAGCTTCCCATGTGACAAGCGATTGATACCTATGATATGAACCGATCAGTCTGCATTTATTCGCAGCGGCGTGATTGGCATGCACACCTAATGTTTTGTAATCACACTTTTCAAGTTATATTTTGTAATGAGCTGCAGTTATATAACCAAGCCTTTTCCTTAGTTACAGAACCATAAACCGTCCAACTCGTTTTGCTGTCAGGCGAGTCGTTTTCAAATTCAGCACAAAGAGAATGTAGCAGGTCGCCTAAATTACTTTCGTCAGTTCTCAATGCCGTTGTTTTTTCTTCGGAGCACCGTCCGCATTTATCGTCTTTGTTCCAGCAGTTTTTGCACTGATATTGAGTTCAAGATCACTTTATTGAGCCGTCTCTAAGCCCTCGGCCTTACTTTGTCCAACTTTTCCTCGCTCCTCGAGCCAAACAACAGCGTCGGCTGCTCCTGTCACCTATTTCTCTCTCAAGAGAAACGAAAATAGTGCCTTAAAACCCACCCTGTCCCGATTTCCGCGCGAACTGAGGCCGTTCGGGGACAAAGCCGATCCACATTGTCACTGACTCAGCCGGCCTTCATTCGGACTCAAACAGGGTGGCCGGCCGTCGGGGCCGCTCCGGCCGGCGGTGTTTTCCTCAGTCCCCCCGTCGACGCGTCGTTCCCGACGCAGTGTGCGTGCCAGCTGTGGCCGCCGGGTGCCAAGGTTGCACGCCGCCGCGGGTGGGCGGAGGTGCCGACGGAGGGGGACTGGCAGCGGCGGTACAAGGCAAAGGTCGACCCTGTTTGTGGCAGCTCTGACGAGCGACGGCGACTGGGGTGGATCGAGGGTCGCTTTGTTCGAGTGTGCTGACGCATCTGTTTTATTTTTAGCGTATTTTCAATTGAACAATGTCCTTCTTACTGTTGGTGGGCCATGGCCTCCATCTTTCAGTGAATCACAAACCTCGAAAATATTTTTCTCTAACGGTCACCAGGGAACGAAGCATTTCATTTGAATTGTGAATCGTTCTACATTATATCTCGCTCCACCGCTCCCACCCGTCCGGTTTTGCTCCACCTCTCCAAACAGCGGATGTGACAGAGCTGCCGTCCCATCGGCGCGGCTCGCACCTGTCCCCGCCTCACGTGTCCGCTGCCGTCGGACACGTGCCCGTCGACGGTCGCACGCGCTGGCCGCCGTCGGTACCGTCGGGGACCGCCCGTCGGGGTCTATGAACTGCCGACCGTCTGCGGGGCGTTTGATGAGGTTAAGGTGTGCCGGCACCGGTGCCAGGCGGGCCCCGGCCCGGGCCACGCGCGGACAGCGTGGCCAGGTGCTCTGCCGCGGCGGCTCGGCAGAGCACCTGGTTTGACGGCGGGCCCGGACCGGCTGGTTGGCAGCCGCGCACCTGCGATGTGGTCCTTCGGAGAAGGGTGAGGTTAGCTGGAGCTCCCCTCCGTTTTTGGCTTGGACTTTCAGGACCCAGGTGACTGTTGACTGATGACGTTGGTATGGGCAGTTTGTCCTTCACAAGGACAGACATTTTTGAACATTTGTTTTGCCCCATAGAAACAGCATGAGAAGTATCAGTTGATAGCTGCTGATGAGTATGTCCATGCCTGCTTTGTTTTCTCTCAAGGCATCTTCGTTTCGGGCTTTTTTACACAAGGCTAATGATTCGTGTTTCTGCGCCACGATGGCATCCCCCTGCCGAGTCGGTCCCGGTCGCTCTCCAACCCCGCGTGGGGTGTCGATGTTGACTCGACGCTCGGTCGGCGGTCGTCGCTGTCGACTTGACGCTCGATCGGAAGCTGCCGTTGTCGCTCGTCTCACAGCCGGCGAGCCCAAGGCCATTGCACGATCGGCGCTCGGTGCCAGCTCAGTTTTTACCGACTCGGCACGCCACAGCCCCGCGGCGTGTTCAACAGACAGATGCTGACACAAGGGTGAACGCGCAGCCAACGCCAAGGTCAGCCAATGTGGGCCGCTTTTTGCGTCTGCGTTGGGTACCGATTGAACTTCCTTCTTAGAATGGCTGTAGCCGTTCTTCAGAAATGACACACTTTCGTGACTTCTAGTTGTCCGCGCTACCTTATCCATTTCTACTTCGTTGACATTTATGGTGCTTAACCTTCCAGGCGGTGGGGGGGGGGGCAATTTTTTGCCCCCTTTAGTTTTTTCGATATATCTCGAGAACCGCTGCGCCGATCGTCACCAAACTTTCAGTACCCTCCCGGGAGCAGCTAGCGCACATGGTGACCAAAAATTGTTCCAATGGCTATGATAGGTTGGCCGCTAATGACGTCAGAGTGACGTCATTTTTGCCATTTTCGACCCAAAAAAAGGTTTCGCGGGAAGAGCTGTCAGGCCTACAGCTTTAGAGATACATAAAAATGCTTCAGACATAAAAGGTGTGGAATCAAAAGGGCTACAAAACTGCTATTTCGGTTTTTCGAGTTTTTTTTTGGATTTTGACCCCCAAAAATAAAAAAATAGATTTTTCGAATATAATAGCCGAAAAATCCAAAAAAAAAAATTTGAATTTCGAAAAAACCGGAATATATGTGATAGTCCCTACCGCCTTCTATCTACATACCAAATTTGAGATCGATACCTCTTTTTTTGGCCAAGTTATAGCGAAAAAACTATTCAAAATTGATGACGTCAAATTTTTAAACTCAATTTTTAGCAATTCTAGACCTCGTAGCGCAAAACAAAGACCACCATTAGACTCCCCGTGACGAGCTGCATCGAATCGATACCCATTTTATGCAAAAATATCAACTTTGAAATTTGACCTTTTTTGACCTGACCTTGACCTGACCTCCACCAGAAAGTGACCCTAACCGTACCTGATGGTCTTATAACCAACACCATTGAGTTGGAAATGAAAAACTGGCCATAAAACATGCATCGCATAACCTTAGTAAAGTTGGGCTCATGTGGTGACCCTTGGTGACCTTTGGTGACCTGACCTGCGACCTGACCTGGTATGACCGGTGACCTCTAATAGCAAGATATGTACTAGACAACTGACGCCTCATCGCTGATTTTCGACAAAATGCGTTTTACTCGGTGTTATAGCGCTTTCCCTAGAAGCCCCGTGAACGGTGAAACATTTTGTCTTTGACCTGACCTGTGACGTCATCGGTGACCCCGAGGTCAATGAAATTTGGTTTCCCTCGACAAATTTGACAGGGCTATCGAACGCCGTTTGAATTTTCCGGATCCGTCCAGTAGTTTCGGAGATACGGGGGGGGGGGGCAAAAAAAATGCCCCCCCCCCCCCCACCGCGCGGAAGGTGGCTGGTAGGCCCACCGCCTGCCGGGTTAAATAATACTTATCTCAGACTATGTAAATTTGTTTCTAAGTCCTTTGGATGCGATCATTGGTTCAAACTGCCGTAACAAAATTTAGGCTTCTTTTGGATGGGGAACTCTCAGTTACTTGCATAATGCACACGCATGTAATGTTTTATATGCCCCCGTCGATTTTATTATCTGCGTTTAGTGCTTAGAATGCGTTCAACCTTTCGGTGCTGGTCCAGATTCGATGGCTCCGTCGGACTGATCTCCTTCAGCGCCACCCATTCCGGCCGATCGGGCGACCTTTTTACTCGGACGGCCGGCCTCCGTCGCTCGCTTCCCTGTTTGCGTCGAAGCCGATGAACTCCCCCCCCCCCCTGGGGGTGGGGGTGGGGGCGGCCACGCGCTGTCCTCGTGATCGGCACCAACCGCCGCTGTGTTGTCTCCATTGCGCCGTGCCGCCGCCGCTGCCAGCTGCGGATCATGGCACCGGGCCCGCGCCGGACGACGGTGGCTCCAGGCGCGCCTGCAGGCTGGGCCAGGACTGTATTTGGAGTGTGACGAGGGACTTTGACGTTGTTAGAGAGCAGGGCGCCTGGAGCAGGTGTGGTCGCCGTTTCTCCCTACGTGACCTATTGCTTTTGTTGCACTGTTCGTTACCGCTTGGTGCCTCTTGCATAACATCACATCAGCTTCTGCCTTATGTTCCCTACTTCGCAGTTGGGACGGCGTATTGTCAGTTATTTTTACAAGCTGTTGTTATTGTTGGCTGCTCATGGGTCATCGATTGTATCCACTGGCCGGGGAAGTCGCCAAACCAACAACACCAGGGACTAACGAGCCCAACTACATAGATCAGTGTGGCCTCGTCCGCCGTTCTTAGACTGAAAGGTCTCCCTTCCGCTGGTCTCCCGGTCATCAGCGCTGCCGCCGACCCTCCCCCGCTCCGCTCCATGGGTGCGGCCCGGGGGCCGTCCCGGCGGCTATTTTCACCTGTCTGGCCGGCTCACGATCGGACCCTGTGCCAGCTCCGTCTGGAGGCCCCCGTGACATCAGCGGGATCTAACTCTGGCGACCTCTGTGACCCCGCCGCTCCCTTATGGCAACGGCCCCCGTGACCTGACCGAGCCTATTTAATTCTGACGACCTCTGTGGCCATACCAAGGCCATACTGACCCCTCCCTCCGCTTCCACCGATCCCTTAAACTCTGACGACGCTGAAAATCCCGTCGAACCATCCAACACGTCTCCTAGTTCGACCCGGCTCCTGGAACTCTAACCTGAGTTTCAGTCTCCTTTGCCAATCGTGCGATTTAGGTAAGGGGATGAGAAAGGATGGTAGCAATGGCCGTGGAGCAGAGAGCTCTCGCTTTACCGCTGACTGTCTCTGTTCGTAACCGAAGGTTTGTTGTCAATAATTAACCCGGCATGCGGTGGGCCTACCAGCCACCCTCCGCGCGGTGGGGGGGGGGGGGCACTTTTTTGCCCCCCCCCGTATCTCCGAAACTACTGGACGGATCCGGAAAATTCAAACGGCGTTCGATAGCCCTGTCAAATTTGTCGAGGGAAACCAAATTTCATTGACCTCGGGGTCACCGATGACGTCACAGGTCAGGTCAAAGATAAAATGTTTCACCGTTCACGGGGCTTCTAGGGAAAGCGCTATAACACCGAGTAAAACGCATTTTGTCGAAAATCAGTGATAAGGCGCCAGTTGTCTAGTACATATGTTGCTATTAGAGGTCACTGGTCATACCAGGTCAGGTCACAGGTCAGGTCACCAAAGGTCACCAAGGGTCACCACATGAGCCCAACTTTACTAAGGTTATGCGATGCATGTTTTATGGCCATTTTTTCATTTCCAACTCAATGGTGTTGGTTATAAGACCATCAGGTACGGTTTAGGTCACTTTCTGGTGGAGGTCAGGTCAAGGTCAGGTCAAAAAAGGTCAAATTTCAAAGTTGATATTTTTGCATAAAATGGGTATCGATTCGATGCAGCTCGTCACGGGGAGTCTAATGGTGGTCTTTGTTTTGCGCTACGAGGTCTAGAATTGCTAAAAATTGAGTTTGAAAATTTGACGTCATCAATTTTGAACAGTTTTTTCGCTATAACTTGGCCAAAAAAAGAGGTATCGATCTCAAATTTGGTATGTAGATAGAAGGCGGTAGGGGCTATCACATATATTCCGGTTTTTTCGAAATTCAAAAAACTTTTTGGATTTTTTTGCTATTATAGTCAAAAAATCTATTTTTTGATTTTTGGGGGTCAAAATCCAAAAAATTCGAAAAACCGAAATAGCAATTTTGTAGCTCTTTTAATTCCACACCTTTTATGTCTAAAACATTTTTCTGTATCTCTAAAGCTGTAGGCCTGACAGCTCTTCCCGCGAAACCTTTTTTGGGGTCGAAAATGGCAAAAATGACGTCACTCTGACGTCATTAGCGGCCAACCTATCGTAGCCTTTGGAAAAATTTTTGGTCACCATGTGCGCTAGCTGCTCCCGGGAGGGTACTGAAAGTTTGGTGACGATCGGCGCTGCGGTTCTCGAGATATATTGAAAAAACTAAAGGGGGGGGGGCAAAAAATTGCCCCCCCCCCCCCCCCCACCGCCTGGAAGGTTAAAACACTATTCTTTAGAATTGTGTTTTTCTATTGAAAAACAAATCTGAGTTCCCTGACAATTTGGCAAAAGTAGACTCGCTGCAGGTGACCTTTATGTCACTGGTGCTTTGTCACTGTTCAGATTACGGAATCCTTAGGCATTCGGCCACTTTCTAACCGGCGCTCCCCGTTTCTGGTCTATTTCAGTGCCAGCTTTGTGGGAGGAAGCAGCGTGCACGGGTTATGTGCAGTGTTCGGTACTGATGGGCCATTACTGACGGATGGCGAGAGAAGGCCGGACGGAGCGCCATCTGGCGTCCGCAGTCGGCCGGGGGCGCCGTCTGGCGTCTGCAGTCTGTTGATCAGACGTGCAGTCTGCCGTCTGCTCTGCAGTCTGTCGTTTAAAGGTAGTGTGCCAGCTTTCTTGGACCGTATGGAGTTAATGGCCCAGATAAGGAGAACCGGATTTTTAGAACTTATCCGTACCTTCAAAACTCATGGAAACGTCTTAAATTCTTCAAATTTTGAGTACCCCAGTGCGAAATTCGCCCCGACGGGTTGTCGGTCGTACCCCAACCACATTTCACACCACTATGAACAATAAATGCACACACTGAAATCGCTATTACCGATATGCTCATCCAATCAAGTTTCGATAAACCCGTTCATCATCATCTCCTGCGGTTTCGAACACGCCTGTTAGGTGGCTTCTGATGCTCGTCGAGGTCGGAATTTCCAAATACGCGTGGTGCGTCGGGCCGCGCGCTCTGACTTCGGCCAAGAAAAATGCGTCAGCTGATCATTGTCATTTCTGCCACTTGCGTGTGGTGAAATGGGGTCATAACTTATAAGACGGCTTTTTCATATCAATTATTTTACATAAAATCATATTTCAAACCATAAATAATGTTCGACAGCCAAATAAAAGAAACAATACCAATACGGGCTTACAGTTTAAGGCTCGACATTGTGTTGTCTACGATTAGACAGCTGATAACTCATTCCCGTACGTCGTATGGTCGTAACACTATAATGACCTTTGCTTATTGTCACAAGTGCGCCGCATTCGCGATTGTTGCCCGACGCCTGTTTGCAGGTGAGCCCACTACAGTTGTTATACATATCTAAAAACCGAAAAACTTTTAGACGAAAAAGGCACTATTCCAGGCCCATTTTTGATTTTTGTTGCGATATTAGGTAAAAACAGAAGCTTCTTATCCTAGGAAAAATAAAATGGGAAATCTTTCAAAGGTGGCACACTACCTTTAAAGACTGCAGTCTGTCCTGCAGTCTGACGTCTGCGGTTCTCCAGTCGGTTGGTCGGCAGGCTGTACCGCAGTCTGAAGTCTGTACCGCTGTGTGACGTCTGTACCGCAGTCTATCGTCTGCAGTCTGCCTCCAGTGGCCAGCTGCGGAGTGTCAGACGGAGACACGTGGAACCTGGCTGTGAGGTGACACCTCAGCTTGTATCTATACCCGTAGGTCAGGGGTGACCTGGGGTCGGCCCGGTGGCTGCCGGCCGCGGCCCGTCGGTGGCCAGTCGCTGAAACTGCCAGTGGGTGCTATTTGGGTGTTATCTGTGTGCTACTAGTCTGAGTAGGATCTCGGAAGCAGCGATCCGGCTTGCCGAAAACAACAATCATCAGTGAAGTCGTTGAATTAGTTGAAATCTTAGTGACCTGGCGTTGTTTGATACGTGTTTAATCGCGTCTCCAAATCTCTTCAGATGGTGCTATAGATTGTGCTAATCGTATCGTTACAAACGCTGGAAGTTGGTAGTTTCTCGCGCTGCCAGGACGTTTTAACGTGTGGTGTCTGCGTTTTCCTTGGAACCCACATCGAAGACGCGAGTGCCTGGCCGCTGTAAATGTTATTCGCGTTGAAGTCGTCTGTTTAATCACGTCGAACAACGTTCGCGTTGGTATTATAGTGAGATCGGGGTGGCCCAACCGAGCTACGCTGAAGTAGATACCCCACCTAACGCGTTGTATCTATGTTTGGGGGCGTGTTTTGCACATACATACATTATTAGTACCTGATGCATGTTGATCGGGCTTTTGTGCCGCAGTGCTACGTTCCAGTAGTGCCGTGTAGCACACGTGCAAATCAGTTCTGCATGTGCTAACGGCTACATCGGTTAGCCGCGGACATAAGGACAGCTCGATTCGCTGCCCCGCCTGGTCCGAGTGGTCCGAGTGTCTGTGTGTGTGTGTGTGTGGGGGGGGGGGGCTGGCCCGGAGCTCGTGTCGCCCAAGTGTTACGGCGTGGGGTAGGCAGCGGGAAATTGGGGGGGGGGGGGGCTGCTCTGCGCCTACTGCCGCCATAGGCTCGTCAATGGGGGTGTGTGTGCCGCTAATACACGAATCTCAACAGACAGGTACTGTTTTTGTGGCCATTGTTGGCATCTTTTGCTCAGTCATTTTTGTTTTTACAAATATCGGCCAGACATGGTAGCTCATTTGACTTGTGTTGAATCATGAATGCTTTCAATCGAAAACTGACGGAACGACAGCATGAAAAAAAATCATGGTGGGCCATGGGTTGGTCGTGAGTACGTCGGAGGCCGCACAGCTGGCTGCCCCTCCCTCCCCTCCCCTCCCCCTCTCACCGCATTCTGCAGGTGTCCTGTCAGACGCCCGGGGCCAGGTCACGTGCCCCCTACCTGGCGGTCATTGACCGGGTCACGTGGCCCATGGCTGGCGGTCGTTGACCTCGGTACCCTCCCCCCTCCGAGAGTGAAGTCGGTGCCAGGTGAAGCCCTCTCTCTTCACCTGCCAAACGGTGTTTGAATGACACTAGGCCAAAACGGTGTGACCCGATTTTTACAGCTCACAAAAACGTCTTGGAGCAACAGAATGCGGCACGGTGGTGATGGCTCAGTTTCACTGCTGCTTGACCTGTCCTATTTTGACACAGGGTTGACACCTAGCAGTGCCTGCTTTTTGCAATTGATTGTTTAGTTTGTCGATGAACTGTTATACATAAAATGACATGCAGTCTAAAAAATAAAATGAAACGGTGTAAGTAGGCCGCGGACGGGCTGTTGCCCTATAATTCACCGTCCCATCTGAACAGTCCTCGCTGGTCGCAACGTCCACAATCCTTCCGGTCACATCAACATCCCATAAAACGTCAATGGCAGTAGGCGTGACCCGCGAGACAGGGGCCATCGTGTGACCGGCTGAGTGAGACGGCAGCCAGGACGGTAATGGAGACGACGGGCCATGGCCAACAACGGCCGACCGGTCAGAGGGGCGGCCCTGGCGGAGAGACGGCGGCCAGGGACCGGTCAGAAACGAATTTTACGACAAAACTAGTTAGAACGTCATTTTAGGCCTGCTCATTCTAAAAAGTAAATCATGCGATTCAACAATTGCGAACGAAATGCATATTGCATAGAACGCAATAACATTGCGCCTGAAAGACTAATAGCATTTTATTTGTTCATTAGCAACCAGATTCAAGCATCACAACAACTAACGGACCTCACAATCTAGCCTATCAGCTATGAATTGATCACTACCAAATTTTGTCTGCATTTTAGGCGCCGCCTGGTGTTGACAATGGTCAAGGTCATGCCCCGCGGCGAAATACGGAGGAGTCACGTGCGTGAGGCGCCCGCGGCGGTGCTCCGTCGATGTTGGGCGTGAGTTGAGGGTTGCAAGTGGTTCTTTGTGTTTTGTTTTATCGTGACGTGCTGTATATGTCAGGAATTGTGGTGGCGGTATCAGTGACAGCTCAGACGCGGGCTGTGGTCTCATGAGAGAACTGAACGGTGCATGAATGGCGGCCATGACCCCGGCCCGATGCGGTGACACCAGGGAAATAGCGACCGGGATCGGTGCTCGACGGACGACCCCAGTTCTGTTTCTGAAGCTGCTTGTGCTGACAAACTGGATCCATAAACAGGTCAGTCCGATCGCCCCAGCGATCCGAAGTCGTTTACAGTTGCTCGTGAAGACATGACGTTTTATTATTCATAAAAACAAATCGAGTGCTTCGCTCTTCACTACTTAACTACCTTGACCTTTTCCGATTATCAATAAATAACACGATAGTGAGCAATCAATAATAACAAATCACAGCAACGTGGTATGGAGGCATTTTGTTGCGGCTAATGCCAATGATCTCCTTATCAAGAGCGGATCCGGTCCAGGGCGGGTGTTGCGTTTTGTTTGTGTGTGTGTGTGGGGGGGGGGGAGGCAGGTCAAGGCTAATCGATGAGTAGGGCGGGGCCAGAGGCGGAGAAGGTGGTCGCTGCCGCTGGTCGCCGATGGCTGGTTGTGCTGATCTAACTGCCATATTGGTGCTGACCGATGGCAAAGGTTGTTAGGGGGAGGGGTGTCCGAGATAATTATTGGTTGAAGGGAGTGGGGGGGGGAGGGTTGAGTCGCTCAACGGACGGATTCAGCGCAGTACGTTACAGATTGCAGATTGAGATTGTTCACGGTGGGGTGCAGCTTTTGTGATTGTTGTGATATCGCGGTTCCTGCCGTGGTACCGTGTGCGGAATTTCGCCGCTGGTTGGCACTGCTGAATGCCAGTGTGTATGATATCGGATACTCGGCTGAGCACCCAAGTCCCAGGAGTCAGATTGACACTTAGACTGACAGGCTAGAAACCTGAGACACATCCGTAAGGAGCTTGGCTGACTCCATAATTGCGGTTCACAGTCGCACCTCTGACCGTCTAAATCGGTTCCGCCTCCATCGGTTCCACACAAATCACTTCCACGGCTGGTGCAGCCACACCATTTCATAGACCCGCGCTCCCTGCCGGTCAATATCCGCAAACAGCCGGCTCGGCTTGTGATAGGGGTTCATCTCGGAGCTGAACAGCCGGAATCCCATCCTCTCCAGCCGGAGGAACGTCTCCAGGTAGCCCTTCCAGGCGGCGAGGCTGGGCCGGCCGCGGCTCCCGGACTGCATGTGCACCTCCACGGCCAGCTGGCGGACGTTCAGCAGCAGCTGCGGCGTTTGCGTCATCATCTGCGCCAGCATCGGCCACTCGCTGCCCTCCACGTCGATTTTGAGGTAGTGCACGGTGCGGTTCTCGTGGCCCAGGTGACGCACGATGTCGGCGTAGGTGCGCACGTCCCACTGCCGGCGCCGCAGCGCGCCCACCGGCACCCAGCGGACCTCGTTCTTGCCGCCGATGCCGACGTTGTGGAAGGAGATGTGTTTGGAGCGCCGGTGGTCGGGCCGGCCGATGGACGGGTCGAAGGCGTGGATCTCGCACTGCAGTCGCTGCACGTTGTCGTCGAACGACCAGTCGTGGTCGACGCCGAAGCTGTAGATGAGGCAGCTGTTGGTCTGCAGAAGGCCCAGCGCCGGGTCCAGACACACCCACTTGTAGCCGTCAAACTTGCGGTCTTTGTAGTTGGGCTGGCCGCCGATTCGCGCCGCCCGGTCGCAGCGCGCGTGCGGCTTCTCGATGTAGTTGAAGAGGGCGGTGACCAGCTCGGGCCAGCTGGAGGGCCTGGCGCGCGTCCAGTCGGGCGGGGTGCCAGCGGCCCACTCCGCGGACGGGGGCGGACGGGCGCCGGCACTGTCATTCAGCCGCGGCTCGTGGACGGGCCGCAGACAGTCCGGTCTACAACATGGTAAAACAAGTTGTCAACTGATAGGATTTTAATGTCATTTTGTTTCTCGAGCTTGACACCACACCAAAATACATCGGGATATTGTACAGCCCCAATCGTTTCAGGAACCGAGGAAACCTGTATTCAACGCTACGTATAGGTATTTCTATTTGTGTACCAACAAACAGCTCTTCCAAAAACTTATTTTTTTATGACAAATTAGAAATTCAGTTTAGGTATACAAAGCGACAGTGTAAGAAACGAGCACTACATGACCTGGCTGATACTATGTAGGCATAGGCAATCGCCGGGATCTCGTTGTTATGCATATGTGCGTACTGCGTAACTGTCTCTTTGTTTTGATCAGATGCGCCAGTTTTGAGTTTGGTGCATTAGGATGCGCATGGAATACATAGGTATATGCAGCGGTGCATATGATTACGAGAAACATGGTACACCATGGTAATGAGAAAGGGGCATCGCCCCAGCTCGGAGTTCATTTGCAAATGACTTGCATAGGCCAGTTGCATTGTATATGATTTCTGATGTAAACTGAGTCCACCTTTGAGTGTAACTAGAGTGCTCCACTATTTTCAGAGCTATCAGTAGATGCACCCATTAAAGTTTTCGGTAGGCATGCGAATGGCTCATCCTTCTGGTAGCACTCCCAGTCATGGTGCATGGGTCTCATCACGTATGCCCCAGTGGGTGCGCTCTATATTCTGGGGCAATGCACTACCCATAGCGACGCGGCCGGGCAGTTAGGAGGGTGGCTGCTACCGATCAGTGATCACCTACCTCTGACACGGTGCTGGCTGGCGCGGCTCGAACCGAAATACGAGGAGCAGCAGGCCCTGGAGCGCGATCAGCCCGGCGACGAACAGCACCTTGTGGCGCTGGATCGATGGCGTCGTCATCGGATTCGAACCGTGAGCTGCAAAATCAACCAAGTCCTTTAGAGGTATTCGGTACAAAAGATACATATCAAACAATAGGTAGGTATATCTGAACAATGCCATATGCAATAAACATTGGATGCAAAACGTTGTGGTATCTGTGTGGTTGGCACTTGGCTGTCTTGGTGCCTACCTAAACCAATTCGCGTTTAATTCGAAAATTTAAATTCACGAGTCTGAATTGTTGAATCCCGCCATATTTTCCGCCAAGAGTTACATGTTCATTGTTCAAGGACCACGCACTGGTCGGACAAGACGTTTGTATTGTAGGGGGCTCGGGCCGCACCTGTTGGCCTTTCGCAGCCTCCCCTCTGATTGCAATATTGCAATATTGCAATCAGATCAGTAGTATTTATATATTGCAATCAGTAGTATTTACTACTACTCTATTTGATGTCAGTGTTAGGCCGAGACGTCTCCCAGCCCGTTACCCGACTGCCACCCGGGCCACTTTCATCCCAATTTCTACTGCTACTACTATTTTTCGTTAAGTTACGATGCATCGTGGTACCAGTGAGAATCACTCCGCCATTTTGAGGCACACCGCGGTTGGTAGCGCGCCCTTGTGGGTTTAGGAGTGAAGCTCCTGGCCATTGATTGCTTTACTAATGTACCGATAGAATTAGACTCCGCTCAATCACCGTTCTCCTCCGACTCATCCCGTCACCAAATGCGTCTGGTCAATTCAATGCCCCATTTATTGTCCGTAATTTCCTAATGTGATCATAACGGACTGCGCGAATTTAAACGTTATCATTTCAGAAGCCTATTTCCTACCGCGAACGCTATCTACCCTAACAATACCCTTACGCCACGCTACGCATGCTAACCTAACCCTCCACCCGCTTGCTCCTACCTATCTATGGAATGTGCCTTGAGCCCGCACAGCATCCCTGCGTAGTCGGAACCTACCTTCGAGCCAGCTTACCAGCAGCGTGGTTAAGGTCGGGTCCCAGCGTTGTAGCCTGGTCGGCGTACAGGCACTGAGCCCCGTTCTCACTCTCCGCTGCGGTTATATACACGTACTCGCCCGAAGGTGGATAAGTCCTGTCACCAGGTCTGAGTCTAAAATCGATCGGGCGACAGTGACCTACGGTTCTGACTACGTTCTAAATGTCAAAAGGTGGGCGAAAATGAACATACCGCGATACACCTTACATAACTTCCCCCCTAGCGTTACATCTTATATAAACTAAATGTCAAAAGACGGGCGAAAATAAACAAACCGCGATACACCTTACATGAAGATACACCTTACACCTACCTGAGACAGCCATGGCGCTGGTCTGAGTCGCCGGCGGTTGTGTCCGGCGTCCGCCACAAGTTTTTCTAGTGCGCGCCCGGTCCGCCGCCCGGTTCTCCGTCGTGTCCGCCGCCCGGCTCTCCGTGTCCGCCGCCCGGTTCCCCGTGTCCGTCGCCCGGTTCCCCGTGTCCGGTACACCGGGTCTCTCTGCCTGATCTGCAGGGTCTCCGTTCCGCCGATATTCGGTACAAAGTTCAACTCTCAGTGCAACTCAACTCTCCGAGCTCCTTACGCTGCTGCCGGGCCTGCTCTGATGCCCACCGGGCCGGCCTGAGTCGCTGCTCTGGGCCTTCTGCCGTCTGATGTGCCGTCAACTGGTGCACCGCCGCCACTGTCACTGTCACTGCCACTGCCACTGTCACTGACACTGTCTCCAATGGGTCCCTCTGTCCGGTCCGCCAGGCCTCTGTTCTACCACCGCCCTGGTCTGAGACTCGGGAGTCGCTGCTCCGTGTCCTCCGCCGCCCGGTACACTGTGCCTGCTGCCGTCTGGGTTACTGTGTCCGGTGCGCAGGGCCTCTACGATACAAGGGGCCTCTTGTCTCTCACCGGCCGGCCCGTGTCGCTGCTGTGTCTCCCGACGTCCGAGTCACTGTGTCTTCCACCGCTCGGAGCAGTCCGGTCGACTGAGTGTGCTGCCGCTGGGTCTTCTGCTGTCTGCCGCCGCCCGGTCCACCGTCCGCGGTCGGCCCGGTCTCACGACCGTTGGGGAGGTGTCTCACGGCGCGTCTGTCGTGCACGACACTGCGCTATTGTCCCGCTATCGGCGCCGTCCCGTCCCGTCACGGCGTCACGCAGCCGTCACGGTGTGCGGCCGTGCAGCGGCTGCCGAGCGGGGCATCTCTCGGCACCGCCCCGGGTTCAACAATGGGCCCCCACCGCGCCGCCGCCGCGCCGGTCACCGTTAGAGTCGGGCGAAAACGGAGCACCTGACGCCGCTCGCGCGCGGGCGCCGGACCGCGTCCGATTCGCACCACGAGAAGCGAGAAGGTGGTCAGGAGGCCAGGGATGCGTCCGATGACCGCCGGTGGGCCCGGCCTGCGCACCACTGCGCACATATAACGCGGTTAGTGGATATCATCGCGGAGTCGGGTAAATACGTCTTTCGCATCACGTCTTCGCATAGCAGAGATCTGTGACTTAGATGACAGATGGAGATGACGCACAGGGCTGTCTCATTTAAATTTATACGCGCACGTCCGTTTTATGTGCGCACGGTTGCGAGCACCGCCGATTTGTTGGGAGGCGTAGCCGTCATTGCTGAATCGACCTTGATTTTCTAGGTAGGTACGATGTAGGTACGACAATTTATACAATTTTTTATTCAGACCTGTTTATATTGAACGTATGCAATACATGCATATATGCATACCTACACAATATACATACGTAAACCATGACGGCTCTGTAGCCGAAGTAATTATACCTAATTTTAATTGGGCGCCCTTTGCTCAAGTTGCTTTGACGTTAAATGCTCATAAAACAAATGATGTTGGTAATTTGAATATAATTTGAGCCTTTGCCCTTTTATCTGTACTAGGCATATTCTTGCCTTACGCTCAATTTTTTCGAAAGTGTTCTTTGTTGTCCTTCCTTACTAAACGGTAAAAACATTTAAATAACAGAACACGGGGCGAAAGGCTCTCCTGCTGAGTCGACAGGAGGGACGGAGACCCGTCAATAGCGACTTGTATAACGTGACGTCCATTTGCATAAATGTGCTCTAAAGACGTTTGAAACGTTTTATTTTCCTACAGCTCCCGGAGCCCCTATGCCCTATGGTCTATCTATCATAACATTCCATCTATTTCTACACGCAATCGGTGAACTTTTTGGCTGTCATCTGAGGCCACCGCCGTTTACTTACATCCGCGGTGACTCCGCCGCTGTCATCTAAAACTGGTACCTACCTAAAAGTGCACCAACCCATTCATCCAGCGGGCTGCCGCTTGACTCTCGGCTAACGCCCCGGGCGGTTGGGCGATACGCCTTCCTACTACCCGGGCTGGGCGCGCCTCTGACCACCGGCATCGACTGCAGCCGAATCCCGCCGTCTGATTGGTCGACTGGCTTAGCTTGCATGGTGACGTCATAAGTGTCTGCAACGCGGCGTCATGCGCAGCGCTGCAGGCTCTGCATCGGCGTACGCGCATCGGCGCCATGGGCGCAGCCGTTTGGGGGAGGGTTTGTCTGGAGCATTCGGAGACCGGCGGTGGTCACGTGATACGGTCACGTGTTTTTGGGAACAGTGCAAATTTATGAAAACATTACATTTTAAAATACAGCAAGCAAGTTTTAAAATAGCAATATTTTCAGTGAGGCTGGGTGTTATCTATTGGATTTCAGCGCCAGTTTGTGATCACGTGATCGCCGGAGCAGCTGATTCCTCAACTGCCCGAGGCCACTGCCGCGCCATGAGGGCACACGGCCAATGTCATGGCTGCTCTGCTGTCAGGAGCGCCGGGCTGTGAGCGGCGACTGTGGTGTGTGGCGCCGCGCTCCGCGTGTTAGCTCTGTGATCCGGTGATTGTGGACGCGCTGCAGCTGCACCGCGGTGTGGCCGCCCCCAGTGCGCGGTACTCTGAATCCCCAGCTGGCGGTGTCTCCGCTTTCCCGGCGCTGGGCGCCGCTGGCCCTGCTGCTGGGGGCCGCCTGCTGTCCGCCGCTGTTGGTCGACTGGATGAGCCCGCTGCGGCTGCTGCGCCACCTCTGCCCCTCGTCCGCCGCCCGCGCCATGTCCGCCGCCGCTGGTGCCGCCGCCGGTGCCGACCTCTCGGTGGTGTATGTGACGGCGCCGTCCGATGAGGTCGCCCGTCGTTTGGCCGCCCTGCTGGTCCAGGAGCGCCGGCTGGCCGCCTGCGTCAACATTGTGCCCGCCGTCACCTCGGTGTACGAGTGGGAGGGCGAGGTGCACCACGACAACGAGACGCTGCTCATCATCAAGACGCGCGCCGAGGCGGTGCCGGAGCTGGCGGCGGCCGTGCGCCAGAGCCACCCGTACGACTGTCCCGAGGTGCTGGCGCTGCCCGTGGTCGGCGGCAGCGAGCCCTACCTGCAGTGGGTGCGGGACACCGTGCGGTCCAAACAGCCCTGAGGGGAGGTATGATGCGGCCCAAACAGCCCTGGGAGGAGACACGGTGCAGCTTGACGGCGGGAAAGGCCCGGATTGGTCTCTCAGCCAAAATGCTGTGATTTGAGTGCGATCCCGTCATCGTCCGGCATATGGTGATAGGATGATCGGATAGCGCATTTATCGTTGACATGTATTAAAGCGGGTTCTTGTCCAACCAGGAGATGGTTTGTGTTTAACGCGTTTGGTTTGTAAGAGGTTTGTCATTCGTATAATAAAGTGCATGTGTGTCTGACTGGTAGGCATTTGTAGGAAGAAAAACTCTTCCCACCTAAAGCCGGAACAGATATCTGATATCAGGAGCCAATCAAGAGAGTATGTATGACAATTTATTTAGCTTCGATGCCAGTCAAGAAGCCACCTCAGTCACCTGAGTGATGGTAATGAAGATCGATAGTGTGACGGTATGCCAGACTGGCAGTAGTAGCGTCGGTAGCGTCATCTACAAAAGAAGTGCTAGTTGCAACTGCTGTCACCAGATGTCCCTCTGATGGTCTCTTCTGAGGCATTGACGCTTACCTCGGTGGCGGTGGGTTATCGTCGGACGTCGGCACATTCTTGTCTAACGGAGACTTGGTTATGCTGTCGGCTCAGTATCAGGCTCCTCAAAACGGTCGCGTCTCTCAAAGTAGTTGACGGTGTTCAAAATAATTAAAAAAGTCACCAAAAAATTATTTCATGTTTCATCCATTTTTTTTTAGAAAGGTCAAGGGCGAGTCCCCCTCCCCCAATCAGCAAAGGAGTATTTTTCGTTTTGGGTACAAGCATTTCTATGCAAAAATTAAGATCTAAGTGTAAACATCTAATGAAAATAAAGCTATAACTTCATATTTGTGAAAGAAATAGACAAGTAAGGATTGCGTGCACCAGGGCTGCGCGGAGTCGACCGATTTTAGGGTGACTCCGACTCCGACTCGAGCTCCGACTCCGTTCGTTATTATTAAAATCTCCGTTCGTTATTATTAAAATCCTAATGGCGGTGTCTGTTATTTTGCCTGAAACGATCCTTTTTGCACTGTTCCAAAGTCTAAACTTGCAGTAAAATGCCTTATAGGTAAATAACAAGGAGAATTAAAAGCAGGTTCGAAGAATTCGCCTTCTGCCGCGAAGGCGAATTCGCTAAAAACTCTCGTTCAAAACAGGAATATGGTCTTTTTTCGATAAAATCTGATTTCGAAAGTTCAACGAGCGTAGGATCGCCAAGCAAACAGGTGCAGCGCATGACGTTGAGCCATGCAGAGTTAACTCCAACTCCGGAGTCGGAGTCGGTAAGATTGTGGCGACTCCGACTCCGACTCCTACTCAGACTCCGACTCCGCAGCCCTGGTGTGCACTGCAAGTGGGCATAAGGACGTTTTTTAAGGCTTTTTTCGTACTTCTCCGTCTAACTTTGACTCTGCTCAGCAGTGGCGCAGCCAGGATTTCGTTTCGGGGGGGGGGGGGGGGTCATCGCTTCCAAAGCGGGCCCCCTAGTGTGCGGGCCCCCACCCATTTTTCAGAATCTCTCCATATTTCATACGCATTCTGCTGGGCGGGCCCCCTTTACCTGCACGATAACCCTGAGCGAGTTTGAATCAGAAAATTTGCATAGAACAGTAGCTCGGTAATCACCCGGTCTTCACTTTTTACGCAAATTGACCACGACAGAAATATGTTACTATGACGTATGACTTCGTATCTTTCGAGTCCGATATGAGCCCCAATTCCGCAATATGCATAGCATATTATCGGAACTGTTGCCTGCTTCTGTCGCACAAGATTTAAAAGTAGTCCCATGTGCCTGTCCTAAGTCATCTATTGGCTGCTGTAGTAGATTGTGCTTTTATTCTTCTTCATTACGTGAATTCGCTCGTAAGAAGTTTTAACCCTCGCCGGCACAGGGGGGAGGGGTTGATGCAACCCCCCAAGGTTTTTTTCGCGAAGAACTCGCGTAAAAAAGTGACTGATCGCGACGTAACTTCCATAGTGCGCTGAAATTCGCGCAACTTATAGAACAAGGATGGGTAACGTGCCTGTGAAGAGTCACAGCTCGATCGGGCCGGTGGTGAGCACATGGCGCGTGCTCAAAAAGTGCAAATTCGCGTCATAGACTTTACATGCATAAATCGGCTTGCAAAAATGGGCGACAATGGCTCAACTTGCCCGACACGGGTCCGGTCCCCGTGCAGTATCTCGCTAACCGTGGGTCCGATCGGCACGAGGAACACAGTATCGTGCATGAGAATCGAACGGGCTATCGAATGGTGTGTGCCTGCGGTGCAGGGATGGCACGCGCCACGTGCACCCGTGAGGGCACTTATGCTTGAAAAATTGACGTTTTGGACGGATTTTGGACTTAATGCTATTTTTGGGTGACTGTCAGACGGAGCGGGTTCAAACAACGCTTGTTGGCAAGAGAAATGTACCTACCGCCTCTCATGGGAAAATTGTGAAAAGCTAATTGATCAAAAACAAGGTGGAACAAATTGCTGGAGAAAATAGCATTTGCTTATGACTTACTTAATTACAGGGGTTTTGCTACATAACCTGGTATGTTTGACAATTGAAATGGGCATAGATTGGAAGAGCATTCAATTGTGACCAAGGTCCAGTCATCGCTTTTGCATGACGAGCAACAATATTCTTAAGAATATAAATGTTTCAAACCTCTACATAGTAATTCATCGATGGCTTTCACTCTTCAATAACCTACGCCAACCTATGTCATGAAATACACTTGGCATGTTCTATAGTAGAACGCATGGTTATTATCAGACACGAGCACCTCGATGCGATGGATATTTTTTCCCAAAACCAAAATGCTTAGCCGTCAAAAGGCAATCGACCGTAATGGATACATAACCCACAGACACAAGACCAACCAAACGCCCACCGATCGAAAATACCCCTTATTCGCGTTGCGAAGCAAGCGGGTCACCCTAGCGGGCCCCATTCACCCGGGGGCTCGGGCCCTATCCACATGGGGGACCAAGCCCTATCCATACGGGGGCCCGGGCCACGTTCACCTGGGCTCCGGGCCTCGTCCACCCGGGGCTCCGGGGCCCGCCCACCAGGGGGACCGGGCCCCATCCAGCCGGGGGCCCGGGCCCCGTCCACCCGGGGCCTGGGGTCCGTACTCCCGGGGGCCCGGACCCATCCATCGGGGGGCCCTGGCCCCATCTACCCGGGGGGCCGTGCCCCATCCACCTAAGGGGCCCGGGCCCGTTCTCCCGGGGCCCGGGCCCCATCCACCCGGGGGCCTGTGCCCTATCCACCCAGGGGCCCGTGCCCTATCCACCCAGGGGGCCCGGGCCCGTTCTCCCGGGGCCCGGGCCCCATCCAACCGGGGGTCCGGCCCCGTCCACCCGGGGCTCAGGGCCGTTCTCCCGGGGGCCCGGGCCCCATCCAGCCGGGGGCCCGGGCCCCCTCCACCCAGGGGGCCCGGGCCCGCTCTTCCGGAGCCTCGGGCCCCATCCACCCGAGGGGCCTGGACCCGTTCTCGCGGGACCCGGGGGTCCGGGCCCCGTCCACCCGGGGCCCGTTCTCCCGGTGGCTCGGATCCATCCACCGGGGCCCCATCCGCCGGGGGGCCCGGGCCCTATCCACCCGGGGGCCCGGACCCATCTACAGGGGGCCCGGGTCCCATCCACCCAGGGGGCCGGGCCCGTTCTCCTGGGGGCCCGGGCCCTGTCCACCTGGGGCCCCAGGCCGACCCCTCACCCGAGGTGTCGCAGTGGGCATTTCTCGAAGCGGGCTCGTCCGATTAGATTAGGACCTCTCTCTCCTCTCTCTCTCTCTCTCTCTCTCTCTCTCTCTCTCTCTCTCTCTCTCTCTCTCTCTCTCTCTCTCTCTCACTCTCTCTCTCTCGAGCGGGCCCCTGACAGAAATTTCGGGGGGGTCAGCTGACCCTCTGACCCCCCCTGGCTGCGCCACTGCTGCTCAGGTACGAATCATATTTAGAGAGCGAGGGTTGATGTCATTTTATGGTGATTGGCTTGGCTGACATATGCTAAAAATAATGGATGATCTTGTGTTTTATTTTCGAGACCCTTGGACCAGTTTATGCATTGGCTTAAAAGCGAACATCAAAATGTATTTTCCTTTAAAGGTTGTCGAGATAGTCATTTTTCATCCAGCACTTGAGCACTGAGCGCATTTTGTGACCCAAAAGGACATTCAGACCAGGATGAACATGTATGGGAACGGACTGTATTCGAACGGACTGACGGTGCTGCAATGAACGGACGTCGCTGGCACACGAGAGACGTATAGGATGGAACACCATAGCACGTCAATGCGGCGCCTGCTTGTGCATCGCCGACTGAAAAATGACAGTTAAATAGAAGTAGAACAGTACTTTAATAGTACCACTACCACGGGCATTTATGGTTATCAACGAAAGCCGAGCTATTGACTAAAACCCAATCATTTTTACTTACTGCACCACCATACATTAATGCATAGGTGACCATTAACCAGCAGCTCTTAGTTCCTAAACCATTTTATTAACCCGCGCACCGCTGGGGTCTGCCGAGCAACGCGCCCTGCTGGGGGGGGGGGCAATTTGCCCCCTCCCTAAGATTTCGAGAACCACGGAACATAGCGACAAGCGGTAAACGGTGCTGGATAGCCCTACCAAGGAACTACCTTGTGAACCAATTTCATTGACCTAGGTCAAACCGATGACGTCACAGGTTAGGTTAAATGTCGAATTTTCACCGTTTACAGGCATTTCAAGAAATGCCTGGTAAAATCGAGTAAAATGCATTTCATTGAAAATCATTGGTGGGAAAATGTTCGTCAAACACATATTCTGCTATTTGAGGTCACTGATACCAGGTCAGGTCACAGAGGTCAGGTCACTGAGGGTCACAATATTAAAATACCATGTGATGCATGTTTTATGGTCCATTTTATATGCCAAATACGATTATATGGGCAGGCAGCCTTTGGGGTCAGGTTAGATTATGTTCTGGTGAAGGTCAGGGTCTGGTCACTGGTCAGGTCAAGGTCAGGTCAAATTAGGTCAAATTTCAAAGTTGATGTTTTTGCATAAAATGGGTATCGATTCGATGCAGCTCGTCACGGGGAGTTCAATGGGGTCTTTGTTTTGCGCTACGTGTTCTAGGATTGCCAAAAATTGAGTTCAAAAATTTGACGTCATCAATTTTGCTTTTTTTGCTATAACTAGGCCAAAAAAGGAGGTATTGATCTGATGGTATGTAGATAGAAGAGGTAGGGACTATCACATATATTCCATTTTTTTGGTTATCCGGAAAAATTGGGATTTTTTTGCGTTTTTCTAAAAAAATCAATTTTTTTAATTTTAGGGGTCAAAATCAAAAAAATTGAAAATCCGAGATTGCAGTTTTGTAGCGCCGCCTTTTGTCTACATAATCATATAAGGAACTTTGAAATTGCTTGATAACTGTAGCTTTTGTGAGCGTTTCAAGATTTCATGTTTTTTGCTCATTTTTGCTCGAACATGACCTCAATTTGACCTCAATAACTCCTGACCTAAGGTTACCTAAGACTTGAAATTTTGTGTGAAGGTGTCAAATTGATGCCCGGGAAGGTACTGAAAATTTGGTGGCGCTGCGCGCCGCCGTTTTCTTGCTTTTCAGGAAAAACCACGGGGGGGGGGGCAACCAGCGGGGCGAGGGTTAAGCTATACACAGTGAGTTATCAGTTAGAAGCGAAGATCTTTCGTCCTCCAGTTGTGATAGCATGCCGCACCGTCTAGGCGGTGGCGGCCAGCTCTGTGACGAGGAACTGCACCATCACGATGATGTAGGTGGCGATGGTGGCCACGATGGAGAGCACCGAGGAGCGCTGCAGCCGGAACAGACCCAGGTCACCGAGCGAGGTCAGGTCGCGGCCGACCGACTCCCGGAACAGGCCCAGCTCGTGCTGCAGGGCCGGCAGCTGCAGCGGCGGCCTCAGCAGCAGGCCGTGCGTCCGGTGGGCGACGTTCAGCGCGCGCTGCGCCAGCTCACAGGGCAGCAGCACGGCCAGCGACGCGCCCAGCGCGTACAGGACCACGGCTGGGGCGTCGTCAGTGATGGTGCCCCTCAGGACGCTGCAGATGGCCACCAGGCAGATGGAGATGGAGGACAGGGTGCCGTAGCACATGTTGACGACCAGTTCGGCAGACATGCCGTCCGTGAGAGAGGAGAACGTCTCCGAAAGGTCGACGTAGATGGCTCGCAGTTGGCGGAGTTCTGAGATACTTGGCAGCCGTTTTTCCTGGAAAATGTTCAGTTCGTCAGCAACGGCCCGATAGCCGGCTAGCAGCTCCAGGGCAGACAGCGCAAACTTCACAGGAATCAGATGCGGGTGAAAGATTATCCAGAATATGGAGATCATATTGAGGACGTCCCATGTAGATGTTTGGAATAAACCATTGCCGCAGATGGCGGTGAAAAAGCCAGTAGAAGCGATGTAAACGTTGGCGATGACAACGACGACTAACAGGTAGGAGTTCTGCCTGACGAGTGTCTTGTTGGACGTCCTAAAGCTGGACAGAGCTGCAGCGCGGGCGAGCACGCGCTCCGATGAGGTCAAGACCTGACCGTGCCGACGGCTCCCTGCCACCACGGCGAGGGCCACCGACGCCCACATGGTGACGAAGATGACGCCCAAGTAGCCGGTGTTCATAGCGATCTCGGTGATCGTCTTACCGTCAGCCACACTCCGAATGAAGTCCCGTATGCAGAGACGGACGCAGAGCACCATGGCGGCGGTGTCGAGGCCGATCAGCAGCAGGCCGTGGGCCAGGCGGTGGCCCTGTGACCGGCCGGGGACGTCCGTCAGGGCAGCCAGACGCAGCAGACGCAGCAGGGCGCCGGCCGCGCCGCACCGCTCGAACCGACCGGGCGGCGGGGCGCGCTCCGCGTCTTCGGTGGTGTCTTCGGGGCCCACCCAGACCGCCGTCTCTCCGGGACTGGGGGCCACCCAGACCACTGCGCCTCTGGAACTGGGGGCCACCCAGACCGTCTTCTCTGGAGTTACAGCGATCCCACCCGCAGCCATGGCGCCGGTTCAGGGAGCTCGAATGGAGACCCCTGCCGATGCGGCCGGCCGGTAGGCAGTGCTGGAGGCTGGAACCTTTGTATGTCGTGTTCGCGAGGCTGGACAGTCGCCTGAGGTCGCGATGAGGGCTGCTAATGGCCCGGCACACAGTGCTGTCATATATTGATCCCTCTTTGAATGTTCTGTTTAGGAACGTTGTATACGAACGGGCCCGTCCCCCGCTGGTCGCTGTGACACATCGATTTCAGCAGAGTGGTCATTTTTCTAAGAGCGCCAAACTGCTTCAAGTCACAACAGTAGACAGAAGCTGCCCAGGGCTTACGTCCATTTTGTGTTCGTTCTGAATGGAAGGGCAGGGCTGATGTGTACCGTGTCTTTCTGGTCGGATGGCAGTGACGACAGTCGGCTGTACAACCTGAGCCATTGGGTCGCTGTTTTGTCAGGTCAACTGTCTTTTGGTGTTTCAATGTTTGGTGACTCTTGGCACAATCGACGTGAGTGCCTGCGACTGCGGAGGATCGGTCAATGTGTGGACCAACGATCATCACTGCCGACCGACCGGCCGCGGCGGCAGGGGTGTCTGTCCGAGCTCTCTGGACCGCCGCCATGTCCAAGGCAATGTCCGCTGTGGCCCCAGAGAAGACGGTCTCGGTGGCCCCCAGTCCCGCAGACACGGCGATCTGGGTGGGCCCCGAAGACACCACCGAAGACGCGGAGTCCGCCCCGCCGGCCGGTCGGTTCGAGCGGTGCGGCGCGGCCGGCGCCCTGCTGCGTCTGCTGCGTCTGGCTGCCCTGACGGACGTCCCCGGCCGGTCACACGGCCACCGCCTGGCCCACGGCCTGCTGCTGATCGGTCTCGACACCGCCGCCATGGTGATATTGGTCCGGAGGAATGTGCAAATGTTCATCCAGAGTCTGGCTGACGGTAAGCCGATCACCGAGATCGCCATGTACACCGGCTACTTGGGCGTCATCTTCGTCACCATGTGGGCGTCGGTGGCTCTCGCCGTGGTGGCAGGACGCCGTCGGCACGGTCAGGTCATGGTCACATCGGAGCGCGTGCTCGCCCGCGCTGCAGCTCTGTCCAGCTTTAGGACGTCCAACAAGACACTCTTCAGGCGGAACTCCTTCCTGCTAGCCGCTGTCGTCATCGTGAACGCCTATACCGTGTGTTGTACCTTTTTCCTGTTCTTTAATGTTGATAATATTTCCCATGCATCCACGAGGGATGTCATACATTTTCTTTCTTTGACTTTCATCGACTGCGCTAACCTGCTGGTTCCTATCAAGTTTGCACTGCCTGCCATTGAGCTGCTAGCCGGCTATCGGGCCGTCGCCGATGAATTGAACGACATTTGCCAAGCAAAACGGCTGCCAAGTATCTCAGAACTCCGCCGACTACGAGCCATCTACGTCGAACTATCGGAGACGTTCTCCTCTCTCACGGACGGCATGTCTGCCGAGCTGATCTTCAGCATGTTCTACGGGATTCTTGCGTCCATCTCCGTCTCGTTGGTGGCCATTACTGGCCTCCTGCTCAGCAACAACGCATGGATAATTTTCGTGGTCATGTACTCTCTGGGCGCGTCGCTGGCCGTGCTGCTGCCCTGTGAGCTGGCGCAGCGCGCGCTGAACGCCGCCCACCGAACGCACGGCCTGCTGCTGAGGCCACCGCTGCAGCTGCCGGCCCTGCAGCACGAGCTGGGTCTGTTCCGGGAGTCGGTCGGCCGCGACCTGGCCTCGCTCGGTGACCTGGGCCTGTTCCGGCTGCAGCGCTCCTCGGTGCTCTCCATCGTGGCCACCATCGCCACCTACATCATCGTGATGGTGCAGTTCCTCGTCACAGAGCTGGCCGCCACCGCCTAGACGGCACGGCGGGTCACTCGAAACTGGAGGACGGGAGGTCGTCGCCTCAGTTCCGAGCGTCATGTTTAACGCTCACGCCCCTCTACTTAAATGATTTGTAGGAACTTCAGACTTGAGGTTTCGCCCCTACCCTAAGGCAGCTCTGATATCCACTGAAAAGCCATTGATATCATAAATGTACCTAAGTGTCGTACCGTGTGATTCGTCGAAACTAGCAAAAGCTTCACTCAATCACTTGTGATTATTTTGAGCAGCACACATGAAGATTGAAGTTATGCTATAGTTACAGTGGCGGTTAGCACATATAGAAATGGGCCTGCACAACTGATGACTGATGCTTATGTAACAAGCATATTTGGTGGTATTTATGCTGTTAGCAGTAGTTGTTTTGTTTTATTAAAATTTGGAATTTCAATTTAATCTCCTCGGTAGTTGACTGCAGCCGTGGAGCCATGAAAAGAAGGCATCATTTCTCTTGATCTGACTGATATCGTGTTCATGCACTGGGTCGTCACTTAGTAGGTATATCAATGGAAACATATTTTATCGTGTATATTACAGCCATCGGAGATGGGAAGGTGGTGTGTTTTGCCCTGAACTGCTGAGTCCCGGCCCCACACATTGGCAGTGCACAGTGCACACATAGCCAGTCGGGACTGGCGGTCGTAGTTGTCGTCCGGTCAACACCGGTGATTGTGCGGGGCCTCGACCTTTCAAAGTGTGACATCGCACAATGAAAGGGTGCTCGTGGCGAAAAAGAAAATATGGATCGCATCAGTGGAACGGTTGGAGCGTAACCAAGTCACATTGTCGCTGCCATCAGCAAATATTAGCCCGGCGAAAAAGCACCAGCAATGCAAGGACGATGTTGGAAAGCAAACTCATCGGGCAGATGAACTTCCTGGCACCACTTTTATATGGTGAACTTTGTATGTATAACGATTAACGTATGTGGGCATGACTGCTGATGACTTAAGGACAATAAAGTATATAAAAATGCGGTAGCAATGTATGTAATACGTTTAAGTCGTATATTCTCTGAACCCAACAGTCGCTTCCATAATATAACATCTAAGGCACATTTGGGAACACATTGCTGTGAAATTCGGCCGCATTTCACATCGACACTCAGCTCCACAGAAAAGTTGTCCTTACGCCTCTTGATACTTTCGTTCCAGCGGCGCTATTTCTTCATTCCGTTTACCCATGTACCTGTCAATTGTCATACCTACCCATTTGTACCCATGTATGAGTCAGCGACAACTGATCTAAGGCAGGTGCATGTGTCGACATTCATGTACAAATCTCAACAATGCTTTGCATTGCAATGTAAGAGTTTTCCCACGTCGCATAAGCATCTCGAGCCAGGCGGGCACTAGTTGTCAAAATTTAGTCAGGCACAGCCATCGCTTGCATGTACCTACGTGCCGAAATATGCCTGAGCTGCATTCATTGCACGACATTCATAATGAATAAACGACGCACCCCTCTATTCGACTCAACACTATTGTAAGCGTTTTTCAACAATTGCGGAGCTCGCCCCTTTGGCACTTGTCTCTGTCATCAAATCGATTCAGAGCAGCACAACGATTCGATCGAAGCCCCACACAGCACACACAACAACCACATTCTGAAAGTGCTAGTCAAAATTGAGCTAAAAAAGTACGATAAAGTTAAGCTTCTTCAGACACAATGTGTGCAGCTGTATATATAGTGACTAGTGCCTACGTCAACATGATTTTGTAAACTCATAACAGCTCAGCCGAACCACTGTCATGACTCATCAAACAATATCATTTTTACCCACGTCATCCTACCATATCAAATGGAATGATATGCCTCTTGAGCCCCTTTCTAGCACTTCAACTTGTTCTCATTCCTATGTCGACTCTCGCCTGGCGCCCAGTACAGATGGCGCTCACATTCAGAACACGCTCACCCCGTCTCTTGTCCCACACTCTCCACACGCTCGGCCACAACACAGACTCGGCCACAGCCAACCTCATTCGTCACCCACAATGTTCTCAAACTTTGCTCTGTCTGAGCTCAGTCACTCTTGGCCCTGAGCTTCCAGTCTCGACAGGATCACCAGCTCACCCAACACGTCACTCAGGCTCATGCTGCACGACACACTCAACACTCACTGAGCTAGCCCCGCGAACTCCATGCCTAGCCGTCGCGAACACAGCTCATCCCCAACTCAATCTTGGCAAATCACTGTGTATTTCTCGGCTCATCCCCGGCTCATTCGTGGCTCAGCCGCTGTAGATCTCTTCCACAATCTTGCCGTACTTCTCCATGATGACTTTGCGGCGCATTTTGAGCGTGGGCCCCAGCTCCCCGCCGGGGATGGAGAATTCGGTGTCGAGCAGGCGCCACTTCTGCACGAAGCACGCGTGTGACTCGGCCTTGTTATTGGCGGCGGTGACAGCCTTCTGGATGTCATCGCGGTACTGTGGGATGCGGAAGACGGCCGAGGGTTACAGAAGGGGTCGGATAAAAACATTATATACGTGCTATGAACATCGATGTTTACTTACTAACTTTCTCGGACTTTGAAACGCACGCAATGTAAAATTGCTCAGTTGAGTCCGAAATTCAAACAGTTGCGTCGTACCTATTTGACAGCTAATTGAGTTCCAGAAGCAGCCAGCTCACGGATGAGCGGCCTGCTACTGCCGTTTGCTACGTTACCTTATCCTGCTCCTTGAGTGCTTCTGAGATGGTAGTGGCCTTCACGCCTCTCTCGCCGAGCCATTTGCGGGCTGTGTCGAGCAGTTTGTCGGTGGCCGCGCCCGAATCAGGGTCCATCTCCACCTGGGGACGTCGGATGTAGTGCTATATATCTGAACAAGTTTCAGTTGCTGAGAGCCGTAGGTACGTGATTTGGATAGCCACTCTTATTTTGGTTCTTTTACTCTCTTGGACTCGTAGTTTACGTTATGCTCTAAAATCAAATTACGAATTCCATGAAAACTCAAGATGAGTGATCTTTACATGGGCTGATTAACTGGTTACCATGGGCTCCTTCCCTTAGATTCACTTAAAGTACGTAATGTGCTCGCGTTTCTAGACCAATTAGCTAATTGCCGAGGCCTAGCCTGGCGGCCTACCTTGAACGTGAAGAGGGCTGCCAGGAACTTGCGCCGGTCCCCGACCACGACGCAGTTGCTGATAAGGGCCGGCAGCTCCGACTTGATGGTGTCCTCGATCGGCACCGGGGCCACGTTCTTGCCAGCCGCTGTGATCAGCAGCTCCTGAGACGGTGGAGAACGTGATCAAGAGCTGGCATTGCCTGGGGGTCTAATTGTTGAATCGAATGAGAAGCTGGAGAGATGCGCGATACGCGTTTCACAGATGTTTTCTCTCTTCTGCAGTCTCAGCGTATACAATGCACGTAGCTCAGAAGTTGGAACATTGAAGCCCTCAAGACGGCACGAGAAACTTGCAAGTCGCAACACTTCATTTACATCGCGTATGTTTGGTGAGCACTCGGCAACCGCGGGTGTTACCTTGATGCGTCCGGTGATGCTGACGTAGCCGTCCTCGTCCACCCTGCCGACGTCTCCGGTGCGCAGCCAGTCCTCGTCGTCAATCGTCTCCTTGTTGGCGTCCGGACGGCCCAGGTAGCCCATGAAGATGTTCCGGCCCCAGTGCAGGATCTGGGGAACGCAGAGGACAGTGTTTGGTTGATACTGGTGAGGAACGTCAAACAGAAACTGAAGTTGTTAATTTTTTCTTGCCAGATGTAAACTTTTTTGTCATCTCTTTTCGTGTTGTCGTCTGTTTTAAGCTCAGCAGAATGCATGCTGTCTCGTAAATAATTGCCACCTATTGATATTTTTTTTTTTCTTCACCTTTGCCAGCCCCTCGCTGTTATTCTTCTCCAGCTGGAATCCTCACAGCTCCGAAAAGCTTAGTCATCTCGCTGCGCTGCCCTTCTTCCCAATCGATGCTGCTTACCTCTCCATTTCCATCCTCGTCAGGTTCTCGGATCTTGAGCTTGCAGCCCAGGAACACCCGCCCGATGCTGCCCAGCTTGAAGCCCATGTGGTTGTTGATGGTTGAAGGTCCGCACGTCTCACTCAGACCGTACATCTGCCATGAAAAGGAACAGGTGTTATACGTTGGATGTCGGGGTGCTAGCTAGGTGATGCAAGCTAAAAGACAGGCGATGTCAAGGTGGTAAGCTATCCACCCCGGAGACCATGCGCCACATCTCGCTCGCCGCCCACCTCGAAGACTGGGATGTTGAGGCTGTGGATGAAGGCCATCGTGTCGGGCGAGATGGGCGCCGCGGAAGTGCCCGCGTGTCGGATGCGGTCCATGCCGATCTTCTCACGGACCCGGCGCAGCATCATGTCGGCTATCGTCAGGCTCCACGGCACCGGGGTGTTGATGTCCCTGCGGAGGAGAGGTGGGAGTGTCAGCAGGAGTGTCAGCAGGATAGTCTTGTGGTAGAGAGGTGGACGCACTACCATCTATTGGAACATATAGCTGCGTTCGTGGAGATAAATGTCTTTTGAGCTTCCATCTATAATATGTAATTTCCAATATCTCTTCATTAGAGCAAGTCCTCACAACCACGTGAGGACCACATACATTAAATCGGGGACTTACTTTTCCCTGGCCTTCCAGTAGGCGGATGACTGGGCGCGGCACCAGTTGAGGATAGACACCTGAAGACCTCCGGCGGCCAGCGCCCCGCTGAACTTCTCGTACATCTTCTCGTAGATGCGCGGCACGCCGAGGAAGAGCGTGGGTCGCACCTCGCGGAGAGTCTCGATCAGGGAGCCCTGTTGAAAAGAGCAGGGTACGGGACGGGCTGTCATAAGAACCGGCTACGACATGTTCTTTCTTATGACACTTGGCGGACGCTTTCGTTAAGTTGTCGTGATCTTCATAATTGATTACATGGCTCGATCACTCTCGATACATTAGTTAGCGAAGCTATTTCTACATGTCCTGCACACGCTCTCTACTTTCACTCATAGCTCGCCTCACAACACCCGTCTCGCCTTACCTTGAGCGCGTCCGGCTGGGCGAAGTAGATGGTACAGGCGGCCCGCAGTGCGGCGTACACGTCCACGATCTGCGCGGCGCCGTGACAGAGCGGCAGGTAGGACACCGTGCTGTCCTCGGCGTCACGGAAGTTGGCGCACTGCGAGCCGTGCTCGGCCGTCCACGTGAAGATGTCGTGGCTGATCATGACGCCCTTCGGCTGGCCCACGGTACCCGACTGCAGCGAGGTGGGGAGAGAGTTGGTGGGTTAGTGAGAGCCGCGAACGGCGCTGAGACTTGCCGGCTGCTCGAAATTGTGACAGCAGTGTTTTATTTACCCGTTCCCAAGCATAACGAACTTCCCATTCAAACGCGGACAAATCTTGATAACGAGGAGCTTGGTGTAGACCGAGCTACTCTCAAGATACCTAGACTTTGAAGCATGATCTTTCTGACTCTGAAATAGTTTTTCATGTTTGTTGTTTACAGTACAGCTTCAGAAATACCCACGAATGTGGGTTTTTGACGCTGTAAACACCAATTGTTTCATTGTATTTCGGGCAGATAAAGACTTATATACTCCAAGCGCCATGAGATGCGTCCGCCACTGACCGTGTAGATGACCGAGCAGCACTGGTTGACGGCGATTCCGCGCAGCCGCTCCTCCAGGCGCGAGTCGTCACACAGCGCCCCCTGGGCCATAAACTCGTCCCACTGCCGGTCACCGCCAGAGGGCAGGCACGCCGGTTAGTCACACAGCGTTCCCTGGGCTGCAAACTCCTACTACCTACTGCTGGTCACCGCCAGAGGGCAGGCACGTCGGTCAGCGTACGGTGAACGGTCGACTGACTTTGTCAAGGGAACGGAGCCTATGTCAGCTACTGGTCGTTTCCCGATCACCTATCCGTGCTTCTATCCTCAGGATACTGAAATCCTTCTCCTCCACGCCACAACCCCCCTCCGGGCTGGACAGGTAACTTTATCTCATGCGGGCCGCTCCCTTGGAGCGGCACCGCTGCTCCCGAGGGAGCGCACCCCGTAGCCGGGTGCAGTGAGTGCCTTGGGGCTGGGTGGCCTGTCCTCTGGACGGGCTCAGCCCCGGCGACTCACTAGGGTGCCTGCCCAGACCAATGTCTCCCCCTAATTCCTATCATCCTTCCGGCTCTGCAATGGTCTTGTCGACCGAAAGGGCCTAACCCAACAAAACAATAAAACAATAAACGTTTCCCGATGGGAAATAACTTCTTTTTGGTAGAAATTTGAGTGCTGGAAAGTAAATGGGCAGACAAGTTTTGAATGAATTGCAGAATAAATGAATGTGATCAACTAGAATTATGCACGTAGCTGAAATAAATTTCAACATTGTCAAGCCTCTTTTTTACTCATACCTATCGGTTGATTGCCAATACCTAATTGTAACTTATTTTGTGAACGGACTCAGCCCCGGCAACTCTCTAGGGTGTCTGCCCAGACCAATGTCTCCCCCTAATTCCTATCATCCTTCCGGCTCTGAAATGGTCTTGTCAGACCGAAAGGGCCTAACCCAATAAAACAAACAATATTTTGTGAAAGTTACAACGTAGTTCTTGAAAATCGTTTTCCTGACGGCTGACCTGTCTATTTGTCGATAAAAGAGAGGTGGTGTGCAACAAGACGTTCATAGCATAATTATGCTGCGGTAGACGATAAGGGAAGGTAAATGGTAAGCTACTTGTTTTTCCTTATTGGCAGATCAAATAATCTCTTATTCTGGTGCCGATTTTGAGTCGGTTCCTGCGCTCCGCGGCGGCGGTGTGGTGCGGTGCTGGACAGGCAGGACGGTGTGGGCGGATATGACGGGCTAACGGGTCAGGGCGGGGTGTGGGGGTGGGCGCTCAGCGGTGTCAGGGGGATGGGCCGCTCAGCAGGAAGTCCAGAGGTCGGCGCGTGGGTACTCATTGCGACGGATGAGCTGTTGTCACAAACACATACACAGGCCACACTATCTGCTCAATTTCCGGCTCCTCTGCTCTGCAGGATAAACCGAACGGGGGCTTGTTATCTGTGCCGAAGAAAACACCAATGTGTCATAAAGAATCACATGCGTGTGGCTAAATGTCTGAATGCCTTTCAGGCAATTATCGGCGCTATGGCTCCTTAAAACAAAAAATATGAGTGACGTCTGTCTCACCGAGAGGACGCTGCCGACGGTGGGCTTCCCCAGGTACTGGACAATGGTCTTCAGCTTTGGGCAGTTGTCCTTGACCTCGAGGATGCGCTGCAGGTACTTGTCGTTCTCCACCACCACCACTGAGATGTCTGTGTTGGTCAGGTAGAACTGGCACGTGGCCGGAGACGAGGTCGTGTACATGCCCGTCGACACGCCGCTGGGAAAGAAGTGTATCGTTACCAAATCTCACTCGACCGAGTCATATATAAATTCGAATTGACCTGCAGTCGGCGTGCCCCGAGTACCCATGGGGTCACAGGGGCGTCGCCACGGATTTTTTAGTGGGGGGGTCGGGTTTCCGGTCTTCGTCTTGATGGGTAGGGGTGTTTTTGGCCACACTTCCGGTTTTTTCGTGTGCCCGGACTCGGAGAAAAACCTCGGCGCGCAGCGCCGCGAAAGTAGCGGTATATCTTAATGTACATCAATTTTGCATCGTGCATAAAAATCAAGCAGAGGTCACCTGAGGTCAGGTCACAATGTCATGTCAAGTTCAGTTTTAATACCTCTTAAAACTGCAATCTTGTCATTCCTATAGATTATCTCCTGACTCCTATAAGTCTGAAATTTGGTGTAATGAATGGGATTATAAGTGCCAACAGTTCATGAATCTGGGATTTTACATCTGAAAAGCGAAGTCAGGTCAAATAGGTGTGTGACCTCACCAATCATGATAAGATATGGGAAAAAGCACGATGTCCTCTGCTTTGAAAGAATATGCTAAAAACGCTAGATACTTTTGTAGCCATGGCACCTTGTTCATTTTAGAGATAAGGTGCAGCTAATGACCAGTGGTGACTGAAATAGTCAGTCATTAGGTCATCAAAGGTCTCGACTCTCTAACACATTTTCGACAACAACTTTTGATGGAGACGTTGTAGAGCGATGACAGCACCTGGCGTGCGTGTGTTCAGCTCAGTAACACAGATCGATCCATATGCTGCAGCAGGTTCTTTTCCGGTCAGGTCATGACCTTTACCTGATGTCAAGTTTTCTATTCAAGTTTTTAAGTTCAAATTGTAAGCCATGCGAATTGCGACGTGTTTCGACGAAACAAAAACGATGGTGCTAACATGAATATCATACACATTCACTGAATCATAGGTTGTTACAGAACAAATGTTTCGGCAAAATCCGTCCGTTTAGCTGTTTGGACTCTATGGTACACAAGCCATAGACCCGAAGTCATATCTGAGGCGAAGTTGGCGAAAGAGCTTTAAAAGCTATCGAATACGCTTTCTGTGTTGCTGTAGCTCTTATTCGTATTTTGCGGGTCGCTAAGGTAAAACGTTTACCAACGTAACGCATATGGCTGGCATGCGTTCGGCCCCGGCCCTGATCGAGGTAGAGTTTCGCGGAAGAGCGAAAATGCTGCCCGTGATGAGAGAAAGCCGATGATGCCCAATTTCAAGGTCTTGGCCGGGTCATCTTAGGTCAACGCCCAAAAGTAGGAAAAATCTGGCCGCCTGCTAGAACTTAGTGAGCCGTAGCTGTTATCGGGGTCCCGAGTACGAGTTCGATGTTAGTCTTGAACAAAAATGATGACTCCATGCATTTTGGGTAGATCGGGTCGATGATGATGATGATGATTTGGAGTGACAGGGCGCACCAGCTGCGAGGCTATATCGCGCCCATTTCTTATTTGACTTCCTCAGTGTCGGGCGTTAAAAATCACCTGAAGGCCGGAGGCCGCAATAAACGAAAAGAGACGAGAAGAGTCTAGCAAAGAGGACTCGTCACCTAAGACTGCTCTCAAAGAAAGCTGGGCTCCGCGCAGGCCCAGAAACTTCAGCCGCTCAGCTTCCAGTCTCGGACACTCCAGAAAAACGTGTCGGACGGAAAGTCTGTCGCCACATCTCGCACAAACAGGTCTTGTGCCGACGCCAATAAGGTGTCCATGGGTACCGAAAGTGTGCCCTGTGCGAAGCCGACAGAGGATAACCTCCTCTCGACGCGACTTGCGCGACGCAGACAACCAGGTTGCCAAACCCGGTTTGATGCGTAGCAGCTTGTTTGTCTGACATTTGCTCCAATCCTCTTGCCACTTTCCGCGGAAGAATGAGCTCACCGCAGGGAAAAAGTCCCTGGCCGGTAGAGGGAACCGGCGGGAGCAGGGCTGCCGCGCCGCATGGTTCGCAGCACGGTCCGCCCGCTCATTGCCAGCTATACCAACATGGCTAGGAATCCAGCAAAAAGTCACTGAGGTACCCTCTCGGTCGAGAGCCGTCAAACGGAGAAGAATCTCCTGTACGAGGGGGTCAAGTGGAGGGTCGGGTCAGCTCAGGTCGACCAGCAGGCTTCCTGCCGGCCATCTAGAGTGGGTGACTGACAACCACCAACGATAGCTTCGTAACATGTTACATAACCATCATTTATCAAAACTACAGGGTCTTTCATAATGAATGTTATTTTTGAAATAGCCATAGCTCAGGTGATATACATCACAAAGTTATTGTCAATACCCGAATGAAATAACAAATCATGGGAAAGTATGTACACATGACTCGCATTTAGGTACCCTTCATCGATTTTTAACTGTGTCGCCTCGCTTTGGGACACAGATTTCGGCCCGCGGACGTAAATGGTGCACCACGCGCTTCACATCCTCCGCGCACAGCATTGCAGCAGATCTCTCCACTGTGACCTGTAGCTCTATGAGGGTCACTGGAAGGGTCTCTGCTTGGGGCCTCCAAGACGACTGTCCAAAATCAGAAGTACATCGGCGAGAGATCAGGGCTCCAAGCTGGCCATGGCCGCTCAGTGAGACGGCTGATCACTCGTCTGTCAAAGTTGCCATCCAACCAGGCGCGCACACAGGATTTTTGAATGGGGGGGGGCACGACCTTCGAACTGGGCCCCCCATGCCGGAGGGCCCCCCCCCAAAAAAATACGGCCCACGGGGCTATATTTCGGTTGGTTTGAAGCTTGAGCAATTGGTTTGTCAATGCATGTAAAACAATTATTTCGGTACCAGCTTAATTTTCAAAACATATATTTTTACGCTAGGCTGTTTTTTCTCAAATGCGACTCAGAGCCGGTACATATACCTAATCATCTAATTCATTGCGTAAAACATTTCATTAATAAACATTTTTGCAGGTCCCTCAGAAATCAGCCCCGGGCAGCGACTGACTGCCGGCCGGCCGACCGGCCCCGGGTGGCTAGAAGCAGGGGCCGGTCACTGTTTGGCCCGGATGTGTAGGAGCGGGAGCAGCACTCCTTTTTCACGTATATTCGCATATTTTTTTAGGCACATCGACATGAAATGTCGTTATATCTGATACGATGCGGGATCACAGACTAGAGATCCAGCTTATAACTTATATTTAATGAATCAGTCAATGATTCATCAATGAATCAATCAATGAATCAAATCAACAGGACTATGTACGATGCATGTCGGACACGTACCCAGAATTTCGCCCAAGAGGGGGTCACCTGCTGGTCACCTGACCCCGGGCCCGCGAGTCACCCGGGCGCCCGGGGTCAGCTCAGGCAAGGATGTACCCAGGACCTTTCGATGGGAGGAGGGAGGCACGGTGGGTTCAGTCTCACTGGCAGACGGGTCTCTTTAAAACGGTCTTTGCATGAGAAAATGTGGAAAATTGGCAAGCGAAAGTATCATTTATGCCCGAGGAGTGTGCCTAATGTACACTAATGCCTAATTTACATGGTATTTTACGAGCGAGCGAAGCGAGCGAGCTCCTCAGAGTCACCGGTGTGTGGCGCGTTCAGAGGTGCCAGTGAAAGGCCGTCAGATGCGCTGGTGTTGGGTCCTCACAGGCGCCGTTGCGGGGTCTTAGGGCTTAGAGACACTGGTGGAGCCATCATTGGCATGTGTGTGGCCCTGCAAAATGGCCTGCAAGTGGAAAGTGGCCCGTCATAGGCTGGCAAGGACACTCGGAGGCTGGTAAGAGGCCCTCAGAGTCACTGGTACGTGGCCCTCAGAGGCGTCGGTGTGGGGACTCTCAGAGCCGCCGATGTAGGCCCTTAAGATGCGCTGGTGGGGGTCCCTTGGAGGTGGGGCGAGGGGCCTCGCAGTTGCCGTTGTGGGTGCCTTTAGAAACACTGGTGTGGACCGTGTGTCTATCACAGACGGATGTGGAGCCATAGCAGCCAATCCCTCGTTGGCCGTTACTACTTAGGGCCCTGAGCGGCCGGCGAGGTCTCTCAGAAACCGGCATTGGGCCTTTATGAAGATAATTGTGGCTACATAGGAGCCAATAACGTCCCCCCACAAGACCTGTGGTGTCCTTCCGAGTTGAAGTGCGGCCAGCGCGAACCCATTGAGGCCTTCTAAGGGCCCTTTGAGCAGTCGAGGGGCCTTTGAGGCCTTTTGAGGGTCTCTTGACGTCAGCTGAGGACCGTTGGACGCCAGCTTAGGATCGTTTTTGGGCCTTCTGATGGCCATTAGACGCCAATGGATGACCCTCTGACACCAACTGGGGCCCTCTTACACCAGCTAAGGGCACTTTAAGTTTGACGCTAGCTCAGGGCCCTCTGACATTAGCTGGGGGGGGGGGGGGGGGGCTCTGACGCTAGCTCAAGGCCCTTTGACGCTCTTTAAGGCCTTCTGAGGGTCCCTTGAGGTCTTCTAAGGGCCCCTTGAGGCTTTTTGAGGGCCGCTTGACGCCAACTGAGGACCGTTTGAGGCCTTCTGATGGCCATTTGGCGCCAGCTGGGGGCCATCTGGCACCAGCTGGGGGCCCTCTGTCACCAGCTAAGGACCCTTTAGAGCCATCGGAGAGCCATTTGACGCAAGGGCATGGCCCTCTGACGCCAGCTCAGGGACCTTTGACACCCTTTAAGGCCTTCTGACGTCCGTTTGACGTTAGCTGAGGGCCCTTTGAGGCTATCTGAGGGCCCTTTAAGGCCATCTGAGAGTCCTTTGAGGTCATCTGAGGGCTCTTTAAGGCCATCTGAGGGCCCTTTGACACCAGATGAGGGCCCTATGACGCTAACTGAGGGCCCTTCGAGGCCATCTGAGGGCCCTTTAAGGCCATTTGAGGGCCCGTTGTACACGGTCTTCGGTGGTCTAAGGATTAGTTAGAGGCCCATTTGAGGCGGCCTTCGGCCGCCTCAAATGGGCCCCTTCCTTCGAGTTGGGCCCCCCAACTCGAATGGGGGGGGGGGGGCACGGGCCCGTGTGCCCCCCCCCTT